TTTCCTGCCCAATTTGGCTTCAAACCACGATCCTCAGATCTCAGATCTCCTGAGTACCTGGGATAACAGGCGTGAGCCACCAGTGCCCAGAAGCTCTAATGTTTTGAATGTGCAAAATCTTGAGTTACTCAGCCCTTGGCACTACTTCTGTTTGTAGTTCTAGCCTTTACAATTATGAGTGAAAACTCATACTTAGTGTTGAGTAAGTGTCAAATTCGTTTCTTAAAAGCTTTTTGGAATACATACTTTTTAAATGTATACTTAGAGCAATTTGGGGAAATGGCCAAGTAACTTATTTTTTTTTTGTCAGTAGTGGAGCTTGAACTCAGGGCCTGGGCACTGTCTCTGAGCTCCTCTGCTCAAGGTTAGCACTCTATCACTTTAAGCCATAGTGCCACTTCTGGTTTTCTGGTGATTAATGGGAGATAAGAGTCTTACAGACTTTACCGCCTGGGCTGGCTTTGAATTGTGATCCTTAGAGCTCAGCCTCCTGAGTAGCTAGGATTACAGGCGTGAGCCACTAGCACTTGGCTCCAAAGTAATTTCTTTAGTACTCTTCTGTCCCGGCCTTATGAATAGAGAAGTGAGGGAATTCAGTGGGAATTGTTTTCATGGCAGAACAGTCATTTAGACACCTCAGTGGTAAGGCATCAACTTCTAATTATAGCCTCTGTAGTTTGTGTGTGTGTGTGTGTGTGTGTGTGTGTACATAGTCCCATTATGTCAGTATTAATTGAAATCATAGAATGCAACTCTTTGGTATAGGAGCTATTAATGTTCATGGTGCATGTAATCACTTGTGCATTTCTCAAAGACCACAAAAAACTTCACCCTTCCGAGCAAAATGGTTACTGCCAAGCAGGTAAATAAGACGGCTATCAGGGACCATGACAAGAAGTAATACAAAGGCTTTTGACACCACAGTATTCTTGAACCATCTGCTACTAATTAGGGGGACTTTTCTGAAGTTTCAACGGTAAAGCTCAATGGAGTAAGCTGAAATCATTGGCTGTATCGTCCCACAAAGACTAAAACAAGGCAATGTTATTTCAACTAAACAGTGCCTGTCTCTTGAAGGACGGCAAGTTTGCTTCTTGCTGCTAATGGATTTTTCAAAGGCTTAACAGTGATCCAATCATTGCTCAATTTGTAACTGCAACCCTTCTGTTGCAAAAGTAAACTGGAAAAGCAGGCTGTCCACTCATGAAGAGAAACATCTCTGAGTTAACTATTCAATCAATAATCCTGGAACAAGTCCCTGCTCTGAAAGCCCCCTCTCCCCTTTAGGCTAAAAGCAACTAATTGAATTAGGAGCCAAGACACAGTATGTTCATTTTTTTGGATTGCTTTTTAAAGTACACTTTAAATTGCACTTGGATAGAGGCTTAGCAGGAATAAGCATTCACACATAGGTGGGGGAAAATTGCCAAGTGTGGCGGCTCAAGCCTGTAATCCCAGCTATTTGGGAGGCAGACTATGGGGAGATTGCAACTCAAGGCCAGCTGAAGCATAAATGTTTAAAAGACTCTACTTCAATCAATGTCTGGATATAGTGGCATGAACCTAGCCTGGGTGCTAATAGCTCATGCCTGTAATCCTACCTACTCAGGAGGCTGACACATGAGGATGGTGATTCAGAGACAGCCTCACAGGAAAGTCTGTGAGACTCTTCTCTCCAATGAACCACCAGAAAACCAGAAGTGGTGCTGTGACTCAAAGTGGTAGAAGTAGTCTTGAGCAGAAAACCTCAGAGACAGTGCCCAGGCCCTGAGTTCAAGCCCGAATACCTACCAAAAAAAGAAAGAAAGAAAAGAAAAGAAAGAAAAGCACAAATAGGAGGATCACAGTCCAGGTTAGCTGGAGCATAAAGCAAGATCTTACCTTGAAAATAAACAACATAAAAAGGGACTGGTAGACTGCAGGTGTAGCTCCTTGCTGAGCAAGCAGGACCCTTAGTTCAATTCCTAATACCAACAAAAATTAAAACTGCTTCGGTACCCAAAGCAGTAGTGCCACCCTTTGGTCTACTCAATTGAGGACTCTTGAAAGGAATTGGTACAAGAAGTCAAATGTGCTAGGTGAATTGCAATACATGTTATTTGCAATGTAGATTAACTATGTACTCTTTTAAAAAATAATTGCATTTACTTTTTGTTTATGTGGTAGTGAGGAATCGAACCCAGGGCCTCATGCATGCTAGGCAAGCACTCTACCACTAAGCCACATTCCCAGCCCTAACTGTGTACTCTTTTAGGGACTTTGATAACAGTATTTCCAAGATTAATGATTGAGGCTAAACTTGGCAGTGAAGAGCAAGGATCTCCTTATACTAGCTTCATACACTCCAATTATTCGTAGAGAAAAATATCGGAAAGGGGGAAAAATGAACAAATATACTTGGAAAGAATTATTGTCTGACTTTTTTTTTTTGGTTGGTTGTGGGGCTTGAACTCTGGGCCTGGGCACTGTCCCTCAGCTCTTCAGTTCAAGGTGAGTGCTCTACCACTTGAGCCACAGTGCCACTTCGATTTTCTAGTGGTTTATTGGAGATAAGACTCTCACGGAGTTTCCTTCCTGCCTGGGCTAGCTTTGAGCCGAGATCCGCAGATCTCAGCCTCCTGAGTAGCTTGGATTACTGGCGTGAGCCACCGGTATCTGGCTTGTCTGACATTTTATAGCTTGAAGATGACAAAGAAAACCAGTAACATGGCAATAATAAATACAACCAATTAATCCTTCTTATCACTGAATTCTAATATGAAAATCATGTAAGCATGATTTTTTTCTAAACACATCTGTTCTGTAGTAAATTTTTTTTTCTTTTTTCTGCTGGTCGTGGGGCTGGAACTCAGGGCCTGGGCGTTGTCCCTCAGCTCTTCAGCTCAAGGCTAGCACTCTATCATTTGAGCCACAGCACCACTTCCTTTTTTTCTTCACTCTGGTAAATATGTTTCCTTCCAAACCACTAGGCAGTCCTGAGTGGTTATTAACAATTACTGGCACCTGTTGTCTGGCTTGAATTGTTAATAAGCACCTCATCGGTTAGACAGTAAGTGTTGCGGTTTGGATAATAAGTTAAATGATCCTTCTAACTGGAGATGACCTTCTGGTAAGCAATCAGATGACTGACTATTTTAGTGTTTGTCCTGTGGTTTGTATAGACCTTGTATCTAGTCCTGAAAACAACCAAATGGCCCCAGCAGAAGCCACTGTTCCTTGTATATCTAGGCTCTTTAGCAATGGCCTACAATTTGGCTTTTGTTTTTTTTTTTGTCGGTGGTGGGGCTTGAACCTGAGCACTATCCCCTGGGCAATTTTGCTCAAGGCTAGTGCTCTACCACTATGAGCCACAGCGCTACTTCCGGTTTTCTGGTGGTTCACTGGAGTCTCACAGATGTTCCTGTGCTAGCTGCCTGTGAACTGTGATCCTCCTATCTTAGACTCCTAAGTAGCTAGGATTATAGGTGTGAGCCATTGGCGCATGGCAATTTGGCTTTTTTTTTCTCTGAAGGCCCAAAAGTAATACCACTAAACTCAGTGTTGCAAAGCTAAAGCCCCAGTATATTGAGTCATGGAAGGGGAGTAGTGAAAGGGCCTGGAAGGTTTTTGAGGCACTTCAGTGGTAGATAGCTTGCCTAGCACTGGCAAAGTCCTGGGTTCTAGACTCAACAACAACAACAACCAGCTGTCAAAGTTAACTGAGGGGGGAATAGAACCCTTCCACTTTGAAATCTTCCACAAAATCTTATTGTAGGAAACCAGGGAGATCAAAGCTTTGCTAAGTGTACCCAAGAGATAAAGGCCCCGATGTACCAACTCCTCCCTTCTGCCTCCAAGGAACATTGTCTGCAAAGCATGGATCTAGCCCAATTTGCTTCATTTGTAAGTAAGTTAACAGGTATATTTTAGCAGCTCCTGCTCACATATTATAGTATTTTCTGTGTCAGTAATCCTATAAACAGAGTCAAGAGCAAGATGGTGTACATTATCATGGAAATTGCTCGTCGTCACATGTTCCAAGTACCTAGGACAATAAGGAAACATATGCTTCTGGGTATTAGGCAGTTTCTAGACTACACCTAGTAGGCAGAAACATAGGCGCTAGCAATAACTACATGTGGTGGCAGTGTGTTTGTTTTGCCAGAACAGAAGTAGAATAAAAGCAAAAAGGAGATGGAGAAATTTGAAAAGTAAGATTTTAAAATTAAAGATGCAATTGAAGCTTAATTAAAGATTTAAAATTAAGACTGCAGAATCTGGCACCAGTGGCTCAGGCCTGGACAGACATGTCCATGAGACACTTACCTCTAATTAACTACCAAAAAGCTAGAAGTAGAGTGGCTCAAATGGTAGAGCACTGTTAGCCTTGAGCAATAAAGCTCAGGGATCATGCCCAGACTCCAAGTTCAAGCTCCAGGACCAGTACATACATACACTAATAACAACAATAATAACAATAATAAATGGAATAAAGAGTCCAAAGTGAACATCCATCTTGCTTCTAAGAATGGCCAGAAAGGAATGTAGAGAAAATAACAATGTTACAAAGCCATTCACCATTGTGCTCTTAATTATAAAAGGTATATACATAAGGACAAAATGTGAGAAAGCAGAGAGAGATAGTATTCAATGAATGAAATTCTAGTGATCTTTTTTTTTGGGGGGCCCCCCACTGGTGAGAGGAGGCATTCATGGGGCTTGAACTCAGGGCCCAAGAAGTGAAGGCTAGTGCTTTGCCTTTTGGAGCGACAGCACCACTTCCAGTTTTCTGGTGGTTCACTGAAGAGTCTGATGGACTTCCCTTCCTGAATTAGCCTCCAACCAACATCCTCAAAACCCAGCCTCCAGAGCAGCTAAGATTACAGGTGTGAGCCACCTGCCTCTCCGCCACCCCTCCCCCAATCCCCGGCTGATTTTTTTTTTTTAATCTGTCACAAACTTCTCTTACAAGGAACCCAAAGCAAACCGAACCAAAGCCAGAAAATGCCAACAGTACTTACCACAGAGACTTTGCCCACGACATCTCTCGCCACAGCTAAGCCTTGAGCAAAAGTACGGGCTGCTACGAAAGCACGAGTGACCTGAAGCTTTAATTTCCGGGGGACATCCCCAAAGGGCTTCAGCTGCTCCGTGTACTTGCTCACACATTCCAGATACTCATCGGTGAAGTGGTACTGAGAATTCACCAGGCGGAACATGCGCTCCAGAAGGCGAGCCCAGAAGTCATTGAGCATTTCCTCCAGGTTCACGTTCCCCGCCACGTAGTAACGCTTCAACTCCACGAACAGATCTTTAAAGAGCTCTGCATTCTGCGTGTATAAGTGGCCATAGGTCTTCACAAACATATCATTCAGAGATTTCTCTGCATTTTCAAGGAGTTCTTTGAAAAATTCTACAAACAACATCGAAAAAGAAAAAAAAAGTTAAAAATTGGAGGAAAGAAAAGAAGAGACTCTACCCCCCCCCCCCCCCCACACACACACACTTTAGTTAGGAAAACTACGGAGTGCTTTTGGAGGTAAATTTGGAAATGGAAAAACAAAACTCAAACTCAAGAAAGTAAATTGGAAAACCGATCTGAATTAACTGAGAATTTGGGCATCTCAGAACACGTGTCAATGGCAGGAGAACTACTGGCTCAAATGCGTGCTACAGGCCAGATTATATCTAAGAAAAGAGAAAAAAAGCAATTTTAAGCCACCAGCTCTCAGGAATAGTAGGGCTATTCCCACCGCCATTAAAAAAAGAGAAAAAGACAGGGATGTCTGGAATAAGTGGTTTTCCACAGCATTTTACTAGAGCAAAGTGAATCCTGCCTGGTAATTATAACCTAAGATAAAGACAGGTGTTTTCAACAATTGTTATTTTATGTGGGCATGAGGTTTTCTTCCTTTTTTTTTTTTCTCCTTATATCCACATGGCATGCCTGGAACATGCTTGTGAAAAACAAAACAAAACAAAAAAAAAACCAAACAAACAAAAAAACACAAGCCATAATGAGGTAGGCACTGCTAGCTCATGCCTGTAATTCTAGCTACTCTGGAGGCTGAGATCTGAGGATTGCAGGTTGAAGCCAATCCAGGCAGGAACATCTGTGAGACTCTTATCTCCAATGAACCACTTGAAAACCAGAAGTGGAGCTGTAGCTCAAAGTGGTAGAGTGCTAGCCTTGAACAAAAGAGCTCAGGGACACTGCTGAGTTCAAGCCCCATGAATGCCTCCCTCCCCCCTACAAAAAAAAAAAACAATGAAATACCCTTAGAAGCAAGCATAGATTTTCTGAAGATAGATGTGTAGGCATTTCCTGTGACATTAGGATAAATTTGGGGGTATCTAGGTTGACCTTCAGTTCCTAAAAGTCCCATACTAAAGCATGAGACATTCAAGTGTTCTTTCTGATGGCCGGTAGGCAGCAGTGTGAAGGGGAGAAGGGAAAAGAGAGAATGATCATAAAGGATCCAACCCTAGCTTTGGTAAATTGCAACGTGGCATAGAAGGCAACTGAACAAAATACAAATGGGAAGATCAGATTATTTCACATGGATATTTTGACCACTACAGAGTCATAGGCTAGCGTGAGATTTTCATGTCCTAAGTATAACAAATTTGTTTTGTTTTTCCCCTGCAGCTTTTCTAAGGTTGTTCCGGTAAGAAAAGGAGCTCACAGAGTTATCTGTTCCTAACATTAATTCATTGTCTTTTTTCTTTCTTTCTTTTCCTAAGCTTCTTTGGCTCAAGGCTAGAGCTCTACCACTTGAGCCACAGCTCCACTTCTGGTGTTTTTCAGTAGTTTATTGGACATAAGAGTCTCACAGTTTCCTGCTATAGCTGGCTTTGAACCATGATCTGCAGATGTCAGCCTCCTGAGTAGCTAGGATTACAGTCTTGAGCCACCGGCGCCAGGCAACTAATTCATTCTTCAAGAATCCCTTAGCGTGGTATCAAAATAAACACCTCATGGTATCAAGTTTATAAGCAGGAAATATAAGAAATACCAGAGCAAAATGTAAGGACCACATCAAATACGAAACAGCCTCAAAGGGAACAGGGAGCCGAAAGCAAATGTGACACCGACTTCAAAGCCAGAATGCTGGCAAGCTTATCAAAATGCACTAGCGCCACAGAACTCCTCTCTTCCCACGCTACAAGGACAAATCACAGGCTGACAGCAATCATCCCAAAGACTTCTTTCCAAAAAACCTGGACCCAGTGCAGCCTTTTGGGAGGAAATCTATGTGTGTGGCTTTCCTTTCATGCCAGAAGATTCCATACTGATGTCTCTGGGGACCCTAACAGCTCCCTCCACACTTTCTCTAGAGCTAAAAGTCCATAGTCCCTTGTGATTCTACATTTTCAAATTTTGTGAATTGCTTCTCTTTCTGTCTCTCTCTGCTGGTCATTTATTTTCTGGGGCTTTCTTCAGAGAAAGAAAGAAACTGGACTTCCTTTATGGAGGGAACAAATGGGTAGGTCAAATTATCTCCATTTGGCTTTTTTTTTTAAATAAAAAAACCCACAGTTCTCCCCTTAAATTCAGAGGGGAAAAAAAGGAAAGCAAAAAGACATAGCAAAACTATATTGTCTGGTTTCCTCAGACCAAATCTCCTCTCCTACTTTCCTCTCTTTAAAAATAATATACATATATATAACTACCTAATATATACTTAACATATATATTATATGTAATATTATATATTATGTATCCTATGTATTTAAATATTATAATATATACATACACACATATTAGATTGGCTCACACAATCACAGAAGCTGAAAAGTCTCATACTGGGCATCTGTAGGCTTGAGAGGCAAGAAAACACATAAGGTACTCAATACAAGAAGCCAGAAGCCTCAGCATGAGAGCAAAGCCAGTGATTCAACCACTGTCCAAAGTCAAAGGCCTGAAAGCTCCCTGCAGAGCTGCTCCTGCAATTCTGTGTTCAAACTTTGAAGAATGCGGGAGTGTGATGTCCAGAGACTACAACAGCAGGAAATGCACCCACTTGACAAGGTCAAGTGTGCACATCAGTGAAAGCCAGCTTCCCCCCCCCCTTTCCTTTGTCATTCCATTCCATTGTGGCCTCCATTCCGTTGAATGGGGCTGCCTGCATGCAGGGCAAGTCTTCCTTTTCCGCTCAGTTCACTGACTGACAGGCCAGTCTTCTCAGGCTCACACAGAAAGATGATTTACTAATTTTCCAGGCATCCTTCAATCCACATTAGTGACCAAATTGAAATATTCCAGGGGCCATGAGAAACCCTACAATAAATCAACCACCGGTGCTATAAATCAACCACCGGTGCTCTCTATGCACAGGTCAGAGGCCACTGCATCCACACCACTGAGGCACGAGTTAGAAATGCAAACTCAGGCCAGGTGCAGGTCATCATGCCTGGATATCTGAGCTACTCAGGAGGTTGAGATCTGAGGATCAGGATTGGAAGCCAGCCCAGGCAAGAAAGTCTGTGAGACTCTTATTTCCAATAGCAAAGGCTCAGGGACAACACCCAGGCCCTGAATTCAAGTCCCAGTATTGGCAGGCACCTGGCCACCCAATTCTTGTCCTTATCCAACTCACTGAACCAGAAACCTGAGAGTGGGCCCAGCTATGTATGATGCTGTTATAACCTAAATTTGGAAATGATGAAACTTCTTACAATTCACTTTTTTAACAATCGCCACAAGCACAGGGGCTGAGTGCAAGGCAGTGAGGATGAGGGATACTGTTTGAATGAAGAGAAATACCCTCTCCAATGAATTCCCAAGAATAATTTTATGTACTGTTTTGTGAATCAATTTTCTTCTATAGACCTCTGCACTAAATCTTAACATACATGATTAAAAGTAGTTACCACTTTACCATACTTCAAAGTTGGGAAGTCAAAGGATGAGAGGGAATTTTAAATGTCATGTAGGCTATCATGCTTTCTATACTTGAATTGCTAGCATCTTGCTATTCCAGTGTTGCAGCTCAAGTGGTATTGTCCTTGAGCAAAAGTAGTTCAGGGATAGCACCCAGACCCAGAATTTCAACCCCAGGACTGGCAAAAGAGACAAAAAAGATAGCAGTGGAGTGTGCTATTATTATATGTCCAGGTGTGATGCACACCGGATACCCACACATTAGAAAAATAAAGCCTTTGCAACAATGAGAAGTACAAAATGTCATGTCAAAAACGAGCTTTACAATGTCGGTGGGGGGGGGGGGGAGGATTGGGTGGGGGGGAGGGGGGAGGCTGGGAAGGGAGGTGAAGGGTAAACAAAGGAGGAGGCTGCAATGCTTGGTAAGAAATGTATGCATTGTCCTGCCCATATAATTGTAACCCCTCTGTACAGTATGTTTTCAAATAAAATAAAATAAAATTTAAAAAAAAAGAAAAGAAAAATAAAGCCTAGTCCCCAGTTGTTGTGGTAGCTCACGCCTATAATCCTAGCTACTCAGGAGGCTGAGATCTGAGGGCTGCAGTTCGAAGCCAGCCCAGGCAGACAAATTCTTGAGACTCCCACCTCCAGTCCACCAAAATGGTGGACTATAAGCATGGCTCAAGTGGTAAACTGCCAGCCCTGGGCAAGAAAGCCAAGGAAGTGTGAGTTTAAGCCTCTGAACCAGCAAAGAAACAGACAAGGAAAAGGGAAGGAAAGGCAAGGCAAGGCAAGCAAGTCTGATCTTTGAGAACATAATACGCAAGCTTTGTATCAACACAGTGCAGTTAGTATTTCATGACCTAACAGAACGAATTCCAAAAGCAAAATTAGATTTTTATTATATTGCTCATAAAACTGGTACACAGCAGAAGAAACTGGGTGTTAAGAAGTGTTTGACTAGAACTTTCATACTCATTTAAAAGCGGCTTTCACTACTCACTTGCATTTTGAATGAATGGCACCTACCGTCTTGATTTGCTGGGGCTCAACGTGGCAAACCAAGCTACTTTAAAACTTCAAAAAAAAAAAAATGTCCGTGTTCATCCTTTAGGCTTCAAAGTGTTATTAGCCAAACAAGGGCTAAGACACTAAAAATTCGATGGAAAAAAATACAACATTCCTAGAGTTCCTCGTTCTAATGAGAAGCTTTACTGGTTGATACAGCTGCATATAATAAAAAGTAGCTTACTTGGGAATATAAAAGAAATGATCTAATGAAGAGGAGACTGGTTTAAAATTCACACGTGCCCAGCACTACTGTGAACTTTACATTAGTTCCAGTGATTTGCAGGATTCTGTCTAGGAAAAATTTAGCATCTACTTATGTATGTGTATATATATATGTGTGGTGAATATGGGTGTTTATGCTAGTTTGTACTTCAAGAGATGCAGTTGGCTGGACACTGGTGGCTCACGCCTGTAATCCTAACTACTTAGGAGGCTGAGATCTAAGGGTCGCAGTACAA